GGAGTCTCGCTCTGTCGCCAGGCTGGAGTGCAGAGTCACGATCTCGGCTCACTGCAACCTCCGCCTCCCGGGTTTAAGCAATTCTTCTGCCTCAGCCTCCAGAGTAGTGTGCACCACCATGTCCGACTAATTTCTGTAATTTTTTTTTTTGAGATGGAGTCCCGCTCTGTTGCCCAGGCTGGAGTGCAGTGGCGCAATGTCGGCTCACTGCAACCTCCGCCTCCCGGGTTCAAGCGATTCTCCTACCTCAGCCTCCCGAGTAGCTGGGATTACAGGCGTCCACCACCACGCCCGGCTAATTTTTTTGTATTTTCAATGGAGACGTGGTTTCACCATGTTGGCCAGGCTGGTCCTGATCTCCTTACCTCAGGTGATCCGCCCGCCTTGGCCTCCCAAAGTGCTGGGATTACAGGCTTGAACCATCACGCCGCCTGGCCAATTTCTTGCATTTTTAGTAGAGACGTGGCCAAGCTGGTCTCGAACTCCCGACTTCAGGTGATCTGCCCGCCTTGGCCTCCCAAAGTGCTGGGATTACAAGCATGAGCCACTGCACCTGGCCTAATTTTTGTATTATTAGTAGAGACAGCGTTTCACCATGTTGGCCAGGCCGGTCTCCAACTCTTCACCTCAGAAGATCCACCCGCCTTGGCCTCCCAAAGTGCTGGAATTACAGGCGTGAACCACCGCGCCTGGCCTCCAAGTTACTTTCAAGAGGTAACCACAGTGAGTAAGCTGAATGTGCTCTGAGGAGTAGAAGCAGAAAAAGTACCTGTGTAAAAGGCATGTTTCCGCTTAGTTTACGAATGAGCTAAATGTAGAGCTGGCTTGGGTTTAGTAGTAAGGTGGGGAGGGCAGCAGGTAATGCAAAGCGGTTAGCTTTGGGAACAAGACAACCTGGAGTCTAAGCCCATTTTTGCCATCCTGTGACCTTCACAGGTTTTACGTAGCCCTCTCTGAGCCTTAGTTTCCTGAAACTCAGGCAGGTTTTGCTCAGCCTTTGTATTTTCCACCATATTTAGACCAAGCACTCTGGCGCCTCCAAATTGAGGACAGCAGCGGCGGAACTGACGTAATGGGCTCAATCAGCCTCAGCCGCGAAATGCCGACTAATCACAGGCACTTCCGGCGGCCTGGACAAAAGGTTTGACGTCCCGGGGACCGCACTTCCGGGTAATTAAGGCTGAGCTTTGGACGCCAGGGCCAGGGAGCCGCAGCCGGGTGACCTGGGTGCCGCGACTGCGCATGCTCTCGCCCGGGCGCCCTGTGACTACCTCTTTCCCGTAGGTGGGGCGGGGCACTGAAAGGGGCGGTCCAGGACCCTGACTTGTCTCGCGGTTACTGGGCCGGCACGAGCGCGCGAGGCTCGGGGGCGGCACGGGGCGGGGTTTAGCCTGGGGTGGGCGCTGCGGGTGTTTGCAGGGCGTCGCTGTGCTAGCTAGGTTGAGGTCGTGCCGGGTGAGGCGGTCGCACCGGAAGTGGATCTGGCCGTGGCGCTTCGGCGTAGTAAGGAGCCTGCGATAGAATTTTGTTGTTTAGGGGGCGCGGCACCGCACCGCTTCTTTCAGCTTCCTTGCAGCTGCCATGGCGAAAGGCAGAGTCGCCGAACGCTCGCGGACGGGCGCTCACCACACGACCCCCGTGGGGGACGGGGCAGCGGAGACGCGGGGTCCCGCGGCGCCTGGCCGCAGAGATCACCAGAAGGGTGAGTGGGCCCAGGGAGCAGAGCTGGGGGTGGGCGGAGGCTTCTGTGTGTCCGGAGGGAAAAAGGACCCCCGCAGGTCTCGGAGAGTTGTGGGGAAAGAGGGAGCCTGCTGGCGCAGGGGCGGGAGCAGAGACCGTGAGGGAGTTGGGCTTGGGCGCTCGCGCAGCACAAGGCCGTACGCCTAGTAGGTGCATTGTAAATGCTGTTTGAGTACAATTCACTTAAAAGAAAGGATGACACTGGCTTGTTGACGCTCAGGTAGATTGTAAGGTTGATGATGACGACGCTAGGCAGAGCTGGAAGGAGCTGTACTGTAGCATTCGTTGCGTTGTTTATACAGATGAAGAAACTGAGGCCCAGGTGGGTATATGACTTACAAAGTCATAAAGCCAGATCAGTGAAGTAGTAGTTAGGAGCAAGGACTTAATACTTCCAGGTGGCAGGTGGTGTGTGAGTCCCTGCCCTACTGTTTTCTTGTAATCTTGGACTTGGTAACTTTCAGAAAACCTCAGTGTCTGAACTGTGAAATGGGGATAATAATAATATCTACTTAATAGGTGGTGCGTGGGTTGAACGAAATAATTCACGTAAAAGATTTAGAGTAATGCTTGGATATGAAGTGGGGGCTAAATAAATATTAGCAGTTACTTAGTTACAGCTGAGGTCACTCATTCTAAAGTTTTTTGCCCCTACTACATCCTGACATTTCTCACGGCTTTATTTTTGGTTTTTGTTTTCTCTTTATTCCTACTGCCTCTATAATTGCAGAATCTCACTCACGGCTTTAAATATTGTTTTAAGGAAAAAACTGTGCCTAGAAACTACTTTGATTCCGTGTTGGCCTGGAATTGTTCTTTAAATGATTTTAAAGCTCATAAACTTGAAGTGATCCTAAGAAGTTTGTCTGTAGCTCACACAGGTGTGTTCCACCACCAGTGATGGCTAAGGAGAGCTTTAAGAGTGTGTAGCAGAAAATGTTAATGTATTTTCAAATAATTTAAAATGTCTCCAACAGTCTAATTTGACTCTGTCACCTTTATGTATTTGGTATTTTTCCAGCTTATATACACTGAAGCCAGGTAACTTCATATAACTTCAAAAACAGAGAAATGAATCATTGTTAATGTGTAAATCAGCTCTGAATAAAAGATTGTTTTGAAGACTCTACTACTGAGGGTGATATATTCCAAGGTCTGCATTTCCTGAAAAAGTGTTTTCCAGATAGGGCATCCCTAAAAATTGACATCTCATTTGAGGTAGCAGCCAGTTTTACTATTCATGATGTTTACCTAAAGCTATTCAAAAAATAAAACCTTGAAACTTCCAAAGTACTCTTATTTTTTTATCTTATTTTATTACAACAGAACATTCAACACAATTATTCTTATGATGCTGTCACATGACATCTATAGATCACAAATCTATAGGAAGACAGGGAAGGGATGTGAAGGCATGCCTTCATGGTGAAGTAAGGCCTGTTTTTAGTGGCTTGAGACACGGCCTCGCTGTGTCACCTGTGCTGGAGTGCAGTGGCATGATCATAGCTCGCTGCAGCCTCAGCCACCTGGGCTCATGCGATCTTCCCGTGTCAGCTCCACCAAGTAACTGGGACTACAAGTATGTGCCACCATGCCCAGCTAATTATTTATTTTTTATAGAGAAGAGGCGGGCCAGGGTGTCTTGAAGTCCTGGTCTCAAGTGTCTTCCTGCCTTGGCCTCCCCAAATGCTGGAATTACAGGCATGAGCCATTGTGCTTTGCCAGGTAAGTAAGATTTGCATAAGTAGAGAGAAGGGAAGGGTGTTTCAGGCTAGGAGATATAGAGTAGTAGGATTGAAGGTTAGTGTGAAACTTTTATGTGTGTAGGTAAGATTACCTTGTCAGGAGCAGAGGGTTTCTGTTGGGTGTCAGTAGGCGATGAAGTTGGCCTGTTCAGGATGGTGTCAGAATGTTCCTGTAAATTCCATGATACTTGGAAATGCATTTGTATTTTATTAAGTGACATATATAACTTTGGCAAATAAGTAGTTGTCATCATATGTATGTTTGAACTATTTTACACGCTATCTGCAATGTTTGCACATTTAGTGGATTCCTTACCATTACTCTGGCCTCTAGTCTCAGAGCTGAGCCTAGTAGTCTGTGGACCACTTTGAATACTTGAGTAAGGCAGAAGTAACACGGAAAGTCTAATTTTTGCATGATGAAGATGAGAGAGCAGACAGGAGGTGGAACTAGTTAAGAAGCTCTTGAGGATGCATCAAGCCCAGGCGGTGGTGGAAAGGCTGGAGGACACACCTAAACATGCGGAATCCCAATGCCGGGAAGCCAGGGCCAAATCCATATCCCCCCAACATCGGGTGCCCTGTAGGTTCCAATCCTGCCCACCCACCACCTATCAACCCACCCTTTCCCCCGGGTCCCTGTCCTCCTCCCCCAGGAGCTCCACAGGGCAATTTGGCTTTCCCCCCAGGTTGGCCCCTCATCCTGTGCCACAGCCAGGGTATCCAGGATGCCAACACTCGGGTCCCTACCCTCCTCCATACCTACCACCTGCCCCTGGAATGCCTCCTGTGAATCCTTTGGCTCCTGGCATGGTCAGACCAGCAGTGATAGTGGACAAGAAGATACAGAAGAAGATAAAGAAAGCTCATAAAAAGATGCACAAGCACCACAAGCATAGCAAGCATTCCTCCTCCTCTTCCAGCAGTGATTCTGACTGAATACAGGCCCTGGACCCTTCCCTCAGGTCTCACCAGTTCTGCTCTCCTATCAAGCTTCAGATGCCATGTTGTACTGAGGGAAAGTAGCCGTTGTGCTCTCCATCCCCTACCCCCACCTGAGCTTCACCATGCTGTTGAGCCCTGAGTGGTGAGGGAAAATGGGAAGAGGATTGCCATGGCCTGGCCATCTTGTTGCTGCTTGGATAGATCATATAGCTAATGAGTTTAGCAGGGGAGCTATTTTTTGAAGATGATGAACTAAATGTTGAAGACAAGTTCGAGATCTGTAAAATGTGATTTTTTACTTCCACTTACAATACTTGTGATTGGGGAAGTTTGTGGAAATTTAATTATGATGAAAAACCTCTATCTTTTTTTTGTTTTGTTTTGAAACGGAGTCTTGCTCTGTTGCCCAGGCTGGAGTGCAGTGGTACGATCTTGGCTTACTGCAAGCTCCACTGCCCGGGTTCACACTATTCTCCTGCCTCAGCCTCCGAGTAGCTGAGACTACAGGCACCCGCCACCATGCGGGGCTAATTTTTTGCATTTTTAGTAGAGATGGGATTTTACCATGTTAGCCAGGATGGTCTCGATCTTCTGACGTTGTGATCCGCCCACCTTGGCCTCCCAAAGTGCTGGGATTACAGGTCTGAGTCACCCGCGCCCAGCCTGTGTTTTTCAGTATATAAGTCATGACCCTTGTGAGGGGTGTGAAATCAATTTGATGGATAATCAAAAATAAGCATTTTAAAATAATGGAATAGAAGAGAAAATATCAGTGCTTTGGGATTAAATGCTGGTTTTTAAAAATTTTTTAAATCTTTTCTTGAGTTATATATATATATATATACCAGGTCATATACATTACTTAGGCTGATATGGTGGCTCATGCTTGTAATCTCAGTACTTTGAGAGGCCGAGGCAGGCAGATCATGAGGTCAGGAGTTCAAGACCAGCCTGACTAACATGGTGAAACCTTGTCTCTCCTAAAAGTACAAAAATTAGCTGGGTATGGTGGTGCACACCTGTAATTCCAGCTACTTGGGAGGCTGAGGCAGGAGAATCACTTGAACCTGGGAGGCAGAGGTTGCAGTGAGCCGAGATCACGCCACTGCATTCCAGCCTGGGTGATAGAGCAGTACTGGTGTAAGTAGCTGTAATGCTAAAAGGCACGTATGTGTAATGTGGCCATAAGAAGGCACATTTTAAATGTGTTTGCTATAAATTTAAATGTAGACGTATAAAAACAAGATTTATGACTTTTTAATCTATGTTTAGAACTCTTGTTAGAATTATACCCAAGGATTATTGAATTATAATTGCCACCATTCTCTGTTTACCAGTTTGTGCGAAAGGAGAACCTCTGAGTGGAATGTCATTAGGCTTTATTGCACCCTCATCAGTTGTTTTCTTGTGTTACTATAGAGTACAATGCTTAAGTTTGCCTAATTTTAGAGAGTGAAGAAAATATCAAGTTAAACTTAGATCTTAATTTTGTTCAAATGTCTATATCTTTCATCATTCAACTATAATAAGACAGGTAGCAATTAGAGACCTGTCTACTCAAGGAAAACTCAGGGTAATTAATGTTCTTTAGTCCAGTTAAACACTAACTCCTTTCACTCATCTTATTCTTTACTTTAGTACTGGTAAATTCATAATGTAAAGAAAAATATTATAGTTTTAGAGCTAGCATACTAAAAGCCTTATTTAATTTTTAACTTAAGAGGAGTACATTAGGCTGGGTTTGATGGCCCACACATGTAATCCCAGCACTTTGGGTGGGCAAGGCAGGAGGATTGCCTGAGCCCAGGAATTTGAGATCAGCCTGGGCAACATAACATAGTGGGACCCTGTCTCTATTAAAAAAAATAATAATAATACAAGAATTAGCTGGGCATGATGCACGCCTGTAATCTCAGCTACTTGGGAGGCTGAGGTTAAGAGGATCTCTTGAGCCTTGGAGATCCAGGCTGCAGGGGGCCGTGATTGCACCATTGCACTGTAGCCTGGTTGATGGAGACCCTGTTTCAAAAAAAAAAAAGACTATTACCTATTTAAGTCTTTTAAAATAGTTAGCTGCACATGTACAGGATAGAAGGCTGACTGTAGGCCGGGCACCATGGCTCACGCCTGTAATCCTAGCACTTTGGGAGGCAGAGGCAGAAGGATTGCCTGAGGTCAGGAGTTCGAGACCAGCCTGACCAATATGGTGAAACCCTGTATATACTAAAAATACAAAAATTAGCCAGGCATGGTGGCAGGCACCTACAGTCCC